GCTAGAACCCTCGATGGTTTATTAATAAACGAATGAAACCTTAAAAGGTTCAGTATCTTCGCTAGAACCATAAATGGTTCCATATGACACCTTTTTTTTAAAGAGAGTGCACGTGTTTTGAATGATTGTTGAAGTCTTTTTGTCCAAGGAATAGTGAAATTATTTGAATTAGAATATTTTGTATCGAATGTTGAGGACTGTCTGTAAAGTTCTTTTTTTTCATGTATGAAGGTTAAGTTGTTTCAATTTAAACTTTTTATTTTATTTAGCAAGAATGAAACTGTGTTTACATGTGAATTAGGTGTGTGGGTGTGGGTGCGGGATGTGCGGTGTGCGTGTGAGGATGTGGGTTGCCCCTCAATCCATACCCACCCACACCCACATCCACAGCCTCTCAAAATATAGGATTGATCTGTTTTCCATGTCATTTTTCCTGCTTCTCTCTGGGACACACACACAAATGACCAAGAAGAGCACTACCATCAAAAGTACCAAGAGATACAAAACGAACAATGTAAGAAGCAGCATAATAAAGAGAACGATTACATTTGGCGCCATTAGAAAGTTTGAATCGGTCATAATATTTACCGTTGCGCCAACGCTCGGCAGAGTTATGATCCCAATTACGAAAATCTCGTATCCACTGCCAATCTTCGGGAGTACCAGTATAATACCAATCACAACATCTGCCACAAGTGACACATTGGCAACCATTGCAGGTTAGTGGTGGTTTAGAATGAAATTTTTCAGCGCCTAAACAAAGATTGACAACGTTTAAATTAGATTAAGATAGCTCAATAGCGTCTTTGTTATATTCGCGTGGAAATAAATAGTGGCACACCGTATTTTTTATTTATGATAAAAAGAGAAGATATCTTTGATAGAAATAATGGCATATTCTGAGCGCGCTTGCAGTTTTCTATCACGTTGTGTATTTTTAGTTTTACTTGCATTTATGCACTAGAGGAAATTTGCAGTGAAACAAAGGCACCATTTTCACGAGATTCTAACTTGATGAATTTTTTCTTTGTCGTCTCTTTTCATATTTTGAATTTTTCATCATTATCGAAATACCTTTTTTGAAAAGTAACTGCATATTCCGATAGCGCTTGAAATTCACTATCACTCTATATATGAATAAATTGCCTTACATTTACTTGATGGGGAAAAGTTTGAATACAGTAAAAACAACCTGCTTTGAACAGCACAGAAATTCACTACTTTTTAAGACTTTTCAAATTATTGTTGCTGTGGAAATAAATGTTTACCAAAATGAATATATACTCTGATAACACTTTAAATTCTTTGACATCCCATGTATTTATGTCCTGTCTTGCATTTATCTGCCAAAGAATAATCCGAATACAGTCAGCGGTGTTCAGGGACTGAGAAATAGGAATTCCTAATGTGCCAAGGAATTGTCAGTGTCGCTGTGATAATTCCTAGAGGAAATGGGAATCGACTGTAGGTTTCCTCACAGTTCCGCCATTCACGAAAGTCGCGATATTGCTGTTTTAAAAATAATTTTTGCATGAAATCATTGATTCTCACAATTTTGCAAGTGAAAATGAGTTGAAGAACAAAAATTATCGTGAATATTCCATATTTTTACCTTTAATATGCAAGGAACTGTAGGGGAACTGATGAGGAATTCCTAATCCTCAGTCCTTGGACACCCCTCTTTGAATCAGTACAAAAAGCTGACTGGAACAATGCATATTTTAAATACTTTCGGTAACTTCATTTTTCTACCGAAAATTCACTTGAGGTACTCCTCAGGGTTCAGTCCAATAATAAAAAATGACCTTTTTTTAGTGTTCAGGCATGTGGTTTTTTCTATATTACTAAGCATCTTACATGCTCCATAGTTAATTATTGCAGTTCAAGTTGCTTTCTGATTAGTTTCATTTTTGGACTGAACCCTGAGGATTACCCCAGGTGAATTTTCGGTAGAAAAATGAAGTTACCGAAAGTATTTAAAATATACATTGTTCGAGTCAGGTTTTTGCGCTGATTCCAAATATGTTATTATTGTGACTCGAGTTGTAGCTTTTATAATAAAAAACTCAATTTTCAGATTTAAGGCCTTGTACGTCCCACTTTCTTTATTTTAATTTTGGCAAATTCAAGCACTTGCTAGCCAAGACTAATCCATTGTACCATCAATTTCAGTTAATTCTACACTCATTTGGAACCAATTCTATACCGATTTCAGACCAATTCCGACCAATTCCAAGCCAATAATTGGAATTGAATTGGTTGGAATCGGAATTGGAGCACCCCTACCTGCTAGATATTTTTATCTTCAAAAGCATTGAACAAAACTATTGTGAAGGATAGAGCAGTGACAATCATGTGACATTGAGATTTTTGAATAGATGACCCTCTAACAGGTTTATTTATGATTTTATCTCAATAAACTGTAGTTAATACATAGAAAATCTTTGTAGTACTGAATATCTCTTTTTATAGATTGCACGAGGAATGATGCTAAAATAATTAGTGTTTTCGATATTGTAACACTTATATGTATATGATGATAGTATATTTTTTAAGTCATTTAACCTATTGTCATAGGCTTGTGATGATCGAATCAAATTTATATGAGTTTGTTAGATATTCCCTAGTAATGGATATCTAGTCCGATTGTGGTATCCCTACTTGAAATTTTAAGTATCTTACTACAATACACAGTCTTCACTGTTTTCATGAATTTTAAATATTATATATTCAATGAAGCAGAATTTATATCTATAGTTATGATGAAAAACTCGTTTTATTAAATGAGCAAATATCTTTATGGTTAAAAGTTATTCATGGAGACGCTTCTATTGAACTGGACAAACTCTACTCCTATATGTATGGATGCAACTGAGAGGAAAATCTATTTAAAAAAAATCATTGAAGTAATAATATTAGTTCGGGTATATCAAGAAGTATGAACTTCGCAAGCAGCATCTAGCTAGTAGCCAACAGCTTCATCCAAAATAATCCCGCTCAGAAAAGAAAATATTCTATCATTGGTTATACTCTCATTCTTTACGAGCCTATAAATTTTCAGTAAGAAAATGACAATTCAGAAACTTACCTATTTCATATTGCCCTTTTATTAAATTGAGTATCTGTTGGCAATTCGGTCTCTTTTGTGGTTCATGTGCCCAAGCGCTCGTAATTAGATCAACAAATCCCTTGGGAATATTTGTAGGGATGTTTAATCGGTCTCCACGTATGACGAATGCACTAATTGTTG